CAGAATCAATTATCCCATGCTAATCTGAAGTTCTGATTGACAGGTGTGCCCTTAATTGATTTTGATGGGGGAAATAAACTAATTAGAGTCTTAACAATCATCTACTTGGTGCCTGTTCTGTGTAGTAAAACACCACATTTGATCAACACTTCACAAACCGAGTCTTTGATCCTGTGAGTGGGTGGGTGAACAGAGAAAACGCTAAAAGACACTCAGTACAGTTCTTTGGGGGTTTTTTTGTTTTTGTTTTTGTTTGTTTTGTTTTGTTTTAAAGGTGGGGTAGAAACCAGGGATGGGAAGGGACAGCCCAGCATATAAAACTAGTCACAGCCAAGCTCAGGGAAGACCCATACACTTTACTCCACTGAGGCTATGGCTGGGGGCCCACTTTGGGGCCAGCTAGGCCAAGGGTAGGAGGCAGGCAGCAGCTCACACACTCCCGAGGCCATGGGGAGCAGGTGGCCAGGACCAGGCTATTACCCAGCACTTGGAGTTCTGCTTTGAGTAGAGGGAGCCAGGCCACTGGGAGAAGAGACCAGTAAGGGGGGCAGGGACAGAAACAAGCCCACCAGGCCCCACAGGTCTCTGAAAGCCAGAGCTATAACCAGTGTCCGAGTCCCTGACACCAGGAACTAAAAAGAGCAGACATGTGAGGCTTCCAATGCCATCTTTTGGTTTCTTGGTGCCCTAAAATATTTATGCTAATAATTAGCAATTATGTCCAGCCATGGCTTCCTCAGTCAGATTCTTTTTTAAAAGAGATTTTTAAAAATTACATCTATTTAGTGTGTGTGTGTGTGTGTGTGTGTGTGTGTGTGTGTATGTGTGTGTGTTCTATGATGGTGTGTTATGGGACTCAGAGGAACTCGTGGGAGTTGGTTCTCTCCTTCTACCATGTGGGTCCTAGGAGTCAAACTCAGGTCATCAGGGTTGGCAGCCATCTTGCCGGTCCTGGTGGCTTCTGTGCCCTTAGTCCATCCCAGTCCCACCTCTTAGTGAAGCTGCTTCCTGTGACGAGCTGCCAGACCTGGCTGAGTGAGCGGGTAGAGCACATTCAGCAGCAGCCAGAACATGGTTTTAGAATCAGGTATCCTGGGTGACAGCCTGGGCATGTCACCAGCTGTAGGCCATGAGCATGTGGCTTTTCCCTTTCTGTTCCTCTGTGGCTTTATCCATACAACCCAAGGACCAGACCACATGAATACTAAGAACCTTTATTTACATCTGTGGTGGATTCAGGACTGGAGACAGAGAGAGGAGGAGACAGGGATAGCCCTAGTGAGTGCCCAGAGAGGCGGCCACTAGAGTGTGGACGCTCAGGATATGAGTGCTGACTGTTTGGACCAACAGGTACTGGGAGAGGGTACCCAAAGACTCAGCCCCAGAGAGTAGCCCCCGTGTGTGTTGGTACCCAGAGGGACTGGCAGAGCCCCTCCCAACCAGAGACTCCCAACCAGAAGGAGCAACGGGCAATTCTTTTCACCTTCTTTCCAAAGCCAAACTAGGCATGATGCTGCCCTGCTGCCGGGGGACAGGGTTGGCCAAACTCCCGGTGACTTCCCAGAAGTCCAGGGTCCCCTGGGACTGGCTCCACCCTAATTGGCAGTCCTCCAAGCTAGGCACCCACGTCAGCAGGTCTTCGGGGCTCCTTTGCCCTTTCACCCAGTGACAATAAGATGGGCAAAGGGCTGGTTCACCCTCGGCCCCAAGATGAAGAGCATCTGTCCCCAGGGCACCTCCCGGGCAGCACCCTCCCATTCCCACTTGTGTCTCGTCTGGTTCGAGACAGTACCTCAGGCTGAGGCTTCACACGGAATGTGCTTCCCTCTGGGCCTCAGTTTCCCTTCCTGACATGGCAGTGGCACAAATACAGAGTCAGAAGTGCCTAGTGGCCACAGCCACCTCAAAAGGCTCCTTGGAACTTCTCAAACTCAGTTGTCAAACATAAGTCAGTCACAAGAGTGCCCTTGAGGGACGTTTTTGAAGGCAAAGTTAAGTTTTTATCCGAAGGTTAAGAGTTTTTGATCAGTGACCCTGGCTCTTGGTAGGGAGTGGGGGCCAGCCTGGCCATCTACCCGAAAGGTCAGGCACTCGCTCTGCCCCTGGTAGGAACCTCCGGTCAGGCCTGAATGAGTCACCCGGGATGGGGGTGTACTTATGGCTAAAGCTACGTTCTGAGCCCTGCTCCTCTTGGGAATAGGAAACTGGGCAGGAGCAGAAGGATGAAGGGGGAAAGCACTGTGGGGGAGCTATATGCACCTCTGGGTGCCAGATGAGGATCCAGGGCAGTGCCTAGGGGCCATGGCTAGCAGGGTGGAGCAGGGTGGCTGTTTTGTAGGCAGAAGATACCAGGCAGGTGGGCACTGAGTTTTCCTGAAAAGCTATAGTCTTGAATGGAATCCAAGGCAAGCTGATAAGGGGTGGCATGGTGGGGTAGAAGGGTTCCTTCTTCCGGTGATGGCTATGAATGGCTCCCCCCACAGGACCCTGCTTTACCCTGCTTCTTGACCTGTGTTCTCAGGTGCTTTCCCAAGGGCCCCTCCCATTTGCGCATTCCACAGGTTCCAGAATACTCTCCCAAGCATTTGTCTCCTTTACTCCCTGAGGCAGATCTGATAGCAACTCAAGACACAGAATAGCAGAGGAGACAAACGAGCTCAGAGACAGAAAGAGAGCCGCCCAGGGTCACACAGCCAGGGCCTTATCCATATTCTGCTCTTCCTGTGCAGCTTTGCCCACAGTGTCATGCCTGGAGTGTGGTGGGGTCCGTACAGTGTGGGATGCTGGTCTCGGGGACAGGGAAGCCGCTCTGGCTGGTGGTTGTCTAGCTGCCTGGCTGTCGAGGTGAGTTGTGGTCTGGCTGTGGGGCCAAGCTGGCGGGCACAATTTGTTCTCACACTGCTGGGGTGCGGATGAGCCAGGCCCCATGGCTCAACAGCTCAACTGCGCAGCCCCTGGCAGAAGAAGAGACACCGCCGCTGGCTAGATGCCGCACCGGGGGCAGGGGAGCCACTCTCAGGACAGACCTGAAGCCTTCACACCCCAAACATCTGTTCCCAGACCTCTCTGGGCTTTAGGATAATGATGCCTATGGTTGGCAGAGGTGACTCTCCTGGAACGCAGCTGCTCCCAAGCCTGAAGATCTCTTGGAAACGTGAGAGTCCTCTGCCATCTCCTTCATTATTAATCAGTGAGCTATTGTTGGGCATTTGAGATGTACCAGGCTCCAGGCTAAGTGCCTCAATACATTATCTCACTTATTCCCCCAACGCCCTTGCTGTGAGTGACATACTAGCCCCATTTTACAGATATGAAAACTTGCAAAGCTCATAATATCCCTGCCTGAAATACAGTCATGAAGTGTATTTGGGACTCCCTTGGAAGGTGGAAGTTAGAGGGCCCGTTTATAGGTTCACCAGGACTTCTCCCCGCCACATTGATGTTTAGTTCTATATGGTGGGGGCCCTACAGGTCATAGATGAGCCTTCTCGGAACCACCCACATAAACCACTGATCACTTTCAGCTAGGAGGAACCCAGGAAGACTGCCTGGAAGAAGCAGTGTTTGGTCGACATTTCCTAAGACTCAGAAAAGAGGAAATCTTGGAAACTCCACCCACATTCTTTCATACTCATAATTATCTTAATAAAAGCTGAAGTGTTTATGCTCTCTGGCCTGGTAGGAGAAGCAAGTGGCCAGAACAAGATTTCATTTTCAAATAAAGAGACATGATCAAAGAGAGAAAGTCATTTGTTCAAGGTCACAAAGCCACGACTAATAAGGCCAGAACTTGTGCCCAGAGTTTCCGGTTCTCATCCAAGGTCCTCCCCCGCTCCAACCTCCCCCAGGTAGCCAGGAAGATTTTGCTGCCTCTCAAACTCTTAAACTCTCACACACACTGAGGTTACAGGCATTCACCTTTACACACAGCTCGGGACAGAATTTTTGGTAGTCATTTGATGATCAGCTCAGGGGGGCAGATTAGACTCTGCCTGGCTCACAGCTGGGAATAGACACAGAAGAGGAGAGGGCTACTTCTGAAGAACACTCAGGACTCCTGCCTTGCCAAGGGCGATGTACCACCCTCATGTGGACAGAGCCTACTTCTGGACCAAGTCCCTTGGGAAGACCCCAGTCTCAGGCAGGGTGGAAAACCTGGAGTACTCATTAATTCAACTGTGGCAAGAGAGGGCCCTGCTAGACCAACTGCCCAGGGAAATTGCAAGTTCCCAGTGGCCTTCACCTCACCCCACCCTACCCCGCCCCACCCTGCCCCAATAAGCTTTGGCTGCAGCAGGAAAACCGTCAAGAAGCAAGAAGCCATTCATGCCTCGGTTTCCCTCCCCCCACAGTGAATCATCATGTCAGAAGCCATTCCATCCAACCACCTCCCCTCACAGCCATGGGCATTGAGGCCCCCAGAGGGTAGGGAGCATGGCAAACCCCAAAGGAATTAGAAAGAAGCCAGCTCTCAACGGCCTGGCTTCCGTTCCGTTCCCATATATTAGCTGCCGTGGACAAACTTCCCAGCAAGCACCAGCGGAAGTTTTCAAGAAAGCAGATTCAAGTTCAAACTTGGATTGCAAAACTTCCCAACAGTGTGGCCTGGAAAGTCGCTGAGTTCCCTTGGTTGTCTGGGATTATCATCTGAGCACTTCTGGTGATACAATGTGTTTGTTGTCCAAAGCAACAGGACAGGAATGTGCCCATGTGTTGAAAGGCAGACTCAGTAGCCAGCTGTGGTGGCAGACATGGTGGTGCATGCCTGTAACCCTAGCACTTGGAAAGCAGAGACAGGAAGACCAATATGAGTTCAAAGCCAGCCAGGTCTACATATTCAGAGACCCAGGCTAACCATGGCTCCCTACCTAGCAAAAAATGAAGTGAGGTGGGGAGGTAGATCAAGAACCTGCAAGACGAGGAGTGGAGGGGGCAGGCAGAGGAGGAAGGACCCCGGCCAGCTCAGCCCCACAGTGTGTGCTTTCTCTCCTCTCTCACAGGCTATGGCCACGCAGCGCCCAGCACAGATGGTGGCAAGGTGTTCTGCATGTTCTACGCGCTGCTGGGGATCCCGCTCACACTCGTCATGTTCCAGAGCCTAGGTGAGCGCATCAATACCTTGGTGAGGTACCTGCTGCATCGTGCCAAGAGGGGGCTGGGCATGCGGCACGCCGAGGTGTCCATGGCCAACATGGTGCTCATCGGCTTCGTGTCGTGCATCAGCACGCTGTGCATTGGCGCCGCTGCCTTCTCCTACTACGAGCGCTGGACCTTCTTCCAGGCCTATTACTACTGCTTCATCACGCTCACCACCATCGGCTTCGGTGACTACGTGGCGCTGCAGAAGGACCAAGCGCTGCAGACGCAGCCACAGTATGTGGCCTTCAGCTTCGTGTACATTCTCACGGGCCTCACGGTCATCGGCGCCTTCCTCAACCTTGTGGTGCTGCGATTCATGACCATGAACGCCGAGGACGAGAAGCGTGATGCGGAGCACCGCGCCCTGCTCACGCACAACGGCCAGGCGGGTGGCCTGGGTGGCCTGAGCTGCCTGAGCGGTAGCCTGAGCGACAGCGTGCGTCCCCGCGACCCAGTCATGTGCCCGGCGGCCGCGAGCGGCATGGGAGTGGGTGTGGGTGGCAGCGGCTTCCGCAATGTCTACGCGGAGGTGCTGCACTTCCAGTCCATGTGCTCATGCCTGTGGTACAAGAGCCGGGAGAAGCTGCAGTACTCCATCCCTATGATCATCCCGCGGGACCTCTCCACGTCCGACACATGTGTGGAGCACAGCCACTCGTCGCCTGGAGGCGGTGGCCGCTACAGCGACACGCCCTCACATCCCTGCCTGTGCAGCGGGACGCAGCGCTCGGCCATCAGCTCGGTGTCCACGGGCCTGCACAGCCTGGCAACCTTCCGTGGCCTCATGAAGCGCAGGAGCTCGGTGTGAACCACAGCCAGGCCTGGAGCACCTGTGAGCCAGCGGGGTGGGGGTCCTGCCTGCAGAAGCCGCAGGAGTTGACCGGGAGGCCTCCCCCAAAAGACGCCTTTGGGCCCAGTGGGAAGTCCCCAGTCCACCACTACCACCTCTATTCTTCCCCAGCCCCTAATCTCCAACTGTGCGGGCTTGTACCAGCCAACAGGAGGTCGGGCTCTGAGGACCCCTGGAGCCCCTTTCCGAGCCCAACGGAATTCCGAGAAATGTGAAACTTGGGAGGTGGGGAAGGCAGCCACTGGGAATCTTTCAGAAATCTGAGAAGCTCCCCAGTCCTCAGAGGCCCTGCTGGAACCCAGAACCCTTACCTCCCAAGGGGACTTCTGTTCTCGGTTTTTTGTTTTTTGTTTTCTGGTTTTGTTTTCTTCTACTTTTCTTCTCTTCTTCCTCTTCCTCTTCCTCTTCTTCTTTTTCTTCTTCTTCTTCTTCTTCTTCTCTACTTATACCTCCCCTGGGCTCTCCAAAGCCCACAATGTCTTTGTCCAGGTCACCCCCCACTCAGTCCCACCTTGCTCTCTCATCCCCAGCCATGTCTCCCAGCCTCCCACTACCTTCTGTGTCTTTTTTTTTTTTTTTTTTTTTTGCATGGCTATGCAGTTATGGAAGAAAAAAAAAAGGAAATCCCAGCAGTCTCTAAAGCTAGTCCCCAGAGAGCAGGACAGAAAAAGGAAAAATGGCAGGCCACAGGAGTTAGAGCAGAGTAAGTGCAAAAACTGTGGCTTCCAATTCTGCAAGGTGGCCACATCCATAGGTGAGCTAGCTATCTGGAGTCTGATGCTGTGCTCGGGGCTCTTGGGAGACTCCAGCCTTCAGGACTGCCCTTGGAATGGGAAACACAGACTCCTGCTTGCTGTCTGTCCCTGGCTGCTGTTGCTGCTGCTCACCTCTTCCATTTATAGTGATTTTCAGCACCGGAAACCTGTCCTACCTACTCATTCACGTGAGTGTCCTAACACTCCGGTTAGGTCACCTGGGCAATCCTTATGGCCATTTTTTCAGAAGAGGAAAACAGGTAAAAATTACTTGCCCGGGGTGATGCAAGTCTTGAAGGGGAACGAGAACCTGCAGACTTGTTCCCAGCCCAAGTGCTCTTCTTTCTGGCCCAGCCTGCTCTCAGAAGCAAAGCCCCTGCAGGCAACACCCTGGCCTTGTGTAGGCAGCTGGGGCTTCAACTAGAAATCTGAAGCCCTAGTCAGAGCCCCCCTGCCATGGCTCTGCCTCTGCTACTCTTAGCCCAGAGACTGCGGCTCTAAATGGACCTTGTCTCTGTTCGTAAGCAGGGAAGTCCTTGGGACCCAGGTAAGCAGGACTGAGTCTCATGGACTAAAAGCCAGGAGTTGATACTCTGAGAGTTCAGGGATTGGGCAGAGCAGCCCAGACAGCTGGCAGGTATAACCTGGGACATTATCCCTGGACCAGAAGCCAGGGTGGGTACCTGCATCCTAAGTTGCTAGAGTAAGGCTTCCACTATAGCCAGAAACACCCCTCTGGGGGAGAGAAGGTATAGGACCTGGTATACCCTCTACCTCCTCCATTTGTGACCCAGGTAGAGGGTGGCAGACTGTTGGCTTGCTACTGGGGACAAGCTGGAAGAGGGGCAGTGCCCAGGACAACAGAAGGGTATGTGTGGGGCTGTGGGTGTGGCTCAGAGGCACACTTTCTTAGTGTGCTTGAGGCCCTGAATCTGATTCCCAGCACCAGGAAAAGGGGGAAACACTCCCCCCCCCCCTCCAGCAGCCTTCACTCACTGTTCCCAGGCCCAGCTCCTTACTGCTGAGTAAGGCCAGCCTGACCATTTGGGAAGCTAGAGAGAGAGCCCCACCATGTCCTCCAGGCCCTGGAGACCCCTAGGTGGAAGGACTGTGACTTGTGTTTATCCCGTGTCCATGTGGAAGAGCTGGCCCATGTGCCAAGACCAGTGGGACCCAGGAGCTGGAGAGGTGCTGTCTGTGTTTATGTTGGGCCAGAGGCAGTACTTGCTGCCTCTGTCCTGTGTGTGACCCTGCCCTCGAGGGGTCAAGTCCCGTCAGATCCGAGGGAGCCACAACCAAAGTTACAGAGAGGGTGGGGAAGGCAGCAGAGTGGCCCTAGGGTCTGAGCATGGGGGACTGCTTGTCTCCTGTAAGGTCTTGCCTAGGGAACTAGAAGGCCACTGTCACTTCCTGTCTCACCCCCTCCCACTGCAGGCAGCCTTTCTGCTTCCCCAATGCCTTATGCCTGGGCACACTGCCACAGAATATGCAATATGTGTGGGTGACATGCCCCACACCCACCTGGGCAGCCCCTGAGTCCCCAGGCTGTGGCTGCCCTGGCCCCCCTCAGCAGCTCCTGCCCATCTGTCTTCACACTGAGATTGGCGCCTAATAAATGCTGTCCATGGAGACCAGGCTCTGGTTCCCGCTCCTCTGTCATTGGTCACCGTAACTGACGCCCTCACCCTGCCCCACCAGTGCCTACAAACACGACTGCTTGGGGAGCCTTGTGTAGAAACCCGGGAGTCAAGCCTGGCTTCCCTTGGTAAATAATTTCTCAGAAGATCTGGATCTTTTCGATTTCATCCTGGAATAGACCATGAGAACAGGACCTTAGAAATGATTGGGCCCTGTCCTCCCGCTGTGCATAAGTAAACTGAGGCCAACGAGGGCAAAGCACGTGCCCTGGGTCACACAGCTGCGAATGACAGCTTCCCCACTTTCCCACCTCACCTGGCCTGAAAAGTCAAACAGGATGAAACCCAGCTTCTCTTTTAGCTGGGGCCCCTACCCCCAATGACCTGACAGACACACACCTACAGATTATCTCTTTCAAGAGGGGCACATCACAAGTCATTGTCTTTAGGGTATGTTTTTTTTTTTAGCATCTAGAGGAACACCTCAGGCTTGAGAATGGACCTTAGAGCCCAAGACAGATGTGTAGAAAGCTGATGGCCCCTGCCCATTTGGTGCCAGCACCTGAATCACTAGCCAATGGCTTCCAGGCTTCCCTGAGCATGAGCCATAGTAATACGTTCGGCACCACGATCTCTCGGCACAGCATGACTCATAACCACCCCCCCACATTCAATATGTGCATAGCCATTCCTTGTATAAATGCCAGCCATGATCCACTCCATTGAATCGCTTCACCCACCCATAGCTTGCTGTTTTCAGATTGACGTGCACTAAAGAACAGGGCCTGGGGCCGGGGACATGCTTCCCTACTCTTCCCTTCTACTTACTTAGATCAACTCAAAAGAGATGGGGAAATATTTGTGGGGAGGTTCTGGGTTCAAAGAAAAAAAGAAGGAAAACCTGTGACCTCTCCAGGATACAGCCAGCCTCCCTATGATGCACCCCTGGCCGTCCCACGGTTTTAGGACAGGCTCACCGGTAATCGGCTGCTCTCAGGATGGGCACAGCAGAACCCTAGCTCACCCACTCCTAAAACCTGCTTCATTACAATCAGATCTTAAAGGCCTCCAGCTCCTGCCTCTCTTAGCTCTATGAAATGCAACATCAGCAGAGGTGGGTCCTTCTGGAGGTCAGCAGTGGCCAGCACAAGGTCACTTGTACTTTCTTAAGCAGTGCTTTCAGGACACAAACGTGACAGCTCTTGCCCTGCTTTCAACATCGTCTGGGCAAAGCTACCACAAACAGATGTGGCAGGGATTCCCAGAGGGGACCTGTGCCCCAGCCCCACCCACTGCTCCCCAGAGCTCAGCACTTCTACAGGATCTCCATGTTTAGACACTGCCAGGCCCATCCTCCTTACCTGTGAGGCTACCTTAACTGGAAGAGAAAGAAAAAGAAAAAGAAAAAGAAAAAGAAAAAAAAAAAAAAAACACAAGGAAACAGAAGTTGCAAACCTGCCCCACCTGCCCCAGAGAGAGAGTGGGAACAAGTGTTCTAAGCTCCAGCGTGGTGATTTGGGAGAGCATCAACGGGAATAAGCTTCCTGGGATCCAAGAGAAAAAGAGGGGTGCACTGACAGCTCCTCTCTAAGCATGCAGCAGGTGACTCATAGCAAAGGTGCTTAGCGGGGTGACTCACATCTGTAATCCCCAGTGCAGGAAGCTAAAGCAGGGAGATTGACGTGAGTTTGGGGTCAGTGTGCCTGTAGCCTGTCTCAGAACACCAAAGGGAAGATAAGGGTAGGCCTTGATCAAACGAATTTTACAGAAGACTGCACACGGCACCCTCTGTTGGAACTCCACAAAATTCTTAATGCAGTAAAGGTTCTGAGAAGTCCTGCAGCAAAAACACGGCTTATTTTTAGGTAAGCCAGTGCCACACAAACTCATCCCACACCAGATCCTGTTTGCCTGGCACTTCTTTACATCCCAGATTCCCCAGGGCACTCTGGGACCTGCTCGTCTGTCACAATATCACTAACAGAGAAGTAGGTCTCATCCTTTCCCCTTGTGCCCCACTCTATTCTAAAGGGCATTTAGGGACTGTGAATGTCGCTTAGTTGGTAGAGTGCTGGCCTAGCATTCACAAAGACCTGTGTTTGCTCCCCCTGCACCACCCAAAGGTGGCAGCATGTGCCTATAATCCCAGCACTTGAGAGGTGAAGGCAGGATGATCAGAAGTGCAAAGTCATCCTTGGCTACATAGTGAGTTTAAGTTCAACCTGGGGTACATAAGATCCTCAATGAATGAAGGAATAAACAAAAAAGTAAATTTAAGGTTAACTAATTTATAACTGACAGCTGTAACAATATGAGATATCCAAGTTCATCATGTATTAAGTCAAAAGAGGCTCAGAGCATCACGCTGGTCCAAAACCAGGCAGTGAATTGGTAGCACCACTGAGCCTGGGACCCAGGCTAAATGACTGCGTAGATGAAGCATGTGTCCTCACTCCTCCTATTGGACACTGCCTGGCAGTGGTCACTGTCTTCAGAAAAGGTTTGGCCATTGAGGAGTACGAGACCAAGGCTCCCTGTCTGCCCCACCTCACAAAGCCCAGTCTCTGGTGGACTCAGTGGCCTCCTGTGACGCTGCAGCATCAGCCCTCTAGCTGCCCCTTCCCTCCTTGCCAACAGATATGGAGAAACGTACATGTGCGTGTGTGTGTGTGTGTGTGTGTGTGTGTGTGTGTATAGGTCCCAAGATCAGACGACCAGCTCCTAACTTTCAGAGGAAAGGAACTGGGTTCCCGGTAAAGAAATGATAGGTTCAAGGTCATGAAGCAAGACGATGGTACAGCCATGGTTAGTAGTCATAGATCCTGACTTGTGTTCACATACACACACACTCGCATCCATGTATACATATACACTCACATGCACACACACCTATTCACATGCACTCAACAAGTACACACATAAACACACACATATAAATGCACACTCACATCCATACATACACTCACATGCCCACACATATGTACACACACGCACACATACACATGGGACCCTGGTTCCTCTGCTTCTGACTGGAGGAAAGTGCTAATCCTGGAGCTGAGTCACTTGGATGCTGGAAATTTACATTGCATCTGGACAAACTAGGAAACTCACATTCCCTTGCTTTCCAGCTGCATCGAGGACTCATGGTGGGGGGATTGTGATGACACTGGTCTCTTCGGTTCCCTCTAGCCAGTGACACATACACCAGGAGAGGTCACAATGACAGCATTTGATCACAATGAATTAACACTCTTATCAGGAAGACTATGGTCTTGCCATGTGATCAAGGTCACAGAACTTGGTGTCAGAGCATTGAACAGAGCCTTAAGTGTCCCCTCAGTGACAGTCAGGTCCTGAGTGGTCTGAGACAGCCAGCACCCCATTGCTTACAGCTTCTCAGAGGACTGGACAGGTCCCAGGGTTAGGGAGGATCCAAGTGGACACAGTTCCAAAGTCATTGGCAAACAGGGACAGAGAGTAAGGGACTCTTCACCCACTTTACCCTGTGCCCTGGACTTTGGACCAAGGTCAGCAGAATGTCCACTCAACAACCCCTGCCCTCAGCAGGAGGGGACAAAGACTCTGCCTTTGACCCAGGCCACCTCTATGCATCTTCATCTGCCATAGTTCTTGTTCCCAGGAAAAGGGTACCTGTGACCCGGTCATCTGCAGTCATGGAATGTGTGGTCTCACTACAGGATCAGACCGGAGACCTAGGAGGCTTGAGATCTTGAACTCTCCAGCATCAGGCTGGAAAGACACTGTGAAGGTTAAACCCTGAAGAGCAAGCAGGACTGCCTCCCGGGCAGGGGGTCTGCCAGGTCCTGCCACCCTCTGACCTCGCTCTGGATCTCACCCGTTCTTTAAGTGAAGAATAATCTATCTTAAGAGGAGGAACAATGAAGCTCTAAACATTTGCCTGCTGGGGGCCCTGTAGAGATGTCCTTCTGGTCCTTCCCAAAAGAGGTCCCAGAGGTTGGAGGATGTGCCCTCTACGGCCTGGGGCTGAGCTCAGCCCTCCCACTGCACCACATCCAGCTTTGCCACTCAGCCCCTCCCCAGGCAAGAATCTGGCAAATTTTGGTCCAGCCCACAGGACCCCATGCTTTGGGTGATCACCCCCACCCCCACTATGTGGCAGCTCCAGGGACCAACGTGTCTTCCTTCCACTGAGAAAGGAACTGCTTTGAGGCTGTCGCTGGAGGGCAGATGGTGTCATCCAAATAAGTCAAGAGGGCCCTCCAGGCCTTCTCTGGTTAAAATCCCAGGCGTTCTGCTCCCTTTCCTGTAAATGTACACCCAGATACCCCACCTTCTCGAGGACAGCTTCGGTGTTTCTCTGGCCCAGGGGCTTGATCTGCCACAGGGACATGCCACGTAGACCTAGCCACACAGAGGTAGTCCTCATTCCTTCCTCCACGCTGCATGCCATTCCCCTAGGCACACAAGCCAAGCATTCACTGACTTTCAGACAGTTGTCTCCTCAAGTTGACAATCCATCAAGACCTCGCTGGAGTTTGTCATGAGAGCCATTGAGTCAGCAATGGCCACCAAAAGCAAGAGCCATTCCTGCCACCTTCTGCCTAATGACACAGTGCTGACATTGCTCAGAGGCTCATCCTTCCCCAAACCCAAGTCCTGGGACCTAGCTTACCCTAGTGATCTCAACATCAGGTTCGTCTCAGTTTGGGGACCTTCAGGGATGGCTTCAGAGGGACTACTGGGAAAGGCTTTCTTCCCATAAAGGCATCAAAGAAGAGGAAATGTCCCCATGCTTTTACTAGATAGTCCTATGTTACTGTCAGAACCATTTTGGGACATTGTAGACCCAATGAAGATGGTAGATGGAGAAAGGCAAAGAGCTTTGCTGGGCTACTGAGAAACCCAGGAGCCTATACTGGTGGAGCTCTTGTCATAGGAAATGGAAGGTGATGGACCCAGATGGGGTTTCTGCTACTGCTACTGAAAACCCCATGGCTCTCAAACTCCTGAAAGGGGA